GAGACTGACAAATATCCATACAGACAGCCTGTACTGCTACTGTGGTACAAAAGCATCTTATTTCCTCTGGCCCTACTCCTCCTTGCACAGAGAGTAAATGTATATGGCTATATTATTAAGAGATGAGAGCACATTAGACTGAAGAAAAGATGCACACTGGGAGCATCATTTATTTATCTCTGGGTATGTTTTAACATCCCCTTGGCTGGTAAGTAGCAATAAAAATGTAACATACGACATTTTTCCATGTCAAGTAAGAAGATGTGTTGAGTAAAAGTAAACTGAGGCAGGCTATAAAATAGAGGAACAAGGATTGTTTCAGCTAAATGTCTAGTGCTTCAATAAGAACGTGCTTCTGTTGCCTTCACTTGCTTACCAACACTGACAGGTTTGGATTGTTTTTGTTTTGTTGTTTTTTTTTCAAAACTGACTCAATACTGTCAGTCTGTCAGTTTGAATAGTCTCTGCTAGGAGCTTTACTAAAAAAAAAAAAAAAAAGTAAAATTAAATTAAATTTAAAACAAAAAAAGAAGAAGTGTTGACTCAGAAGTCTGCAAGTCTCATGAGAAATGATTGCTTGTCGCTGCCCAGCTCCTGGATACAACCCTGAGTACGAGGCCAGCCCGCAGGAAGAAACATGGGGGCAACAACACACAGACTAAAGGATACACAAATAAAATCTGCCCATCAGGATCGGCAGCTCCCCAGGAAATCTGCCTACATTACCCCAATCCAGTCACTCAGTTTCATACTGAAGGTGTGATTCAGTCAGCAATGTGCCATTTCAGACCCACGTCTGGCTCCTGCTCCCACATTACAGTCTACGTGCTTCACAGCTGTTCTGCTCTCTACACCCTCACTGAGCTCCACCAGTCAGAGCAACAATTCCTGGGGATGCAGCAGGGAAATAAGGTAAGTTATTTCGTGTGACAGCAACACCAGAACTACAACAAGCCATGCAGTGTTTGTGCTTGAGCCCTATTTTAAGGATGCTAAGCACCAGCACAGATACAGCTGCTGCTGTCTGCTCTGTTTGAACTTGAATATTAGACAAACCATACAAAGCCTGAACTATCAGCCTTCATTCTGCACTTTCATGACCTTCACCCACCTGTATATTCTGACAACACCAGAGAGGACTCTGTGCCTCCTATTTCAGTGGGCTGTCTTCACTTAGCCAGTCAGTGCTGTTCCACATGAAGGGAAGTTTACTTTCTATTCTAACCAGTATTATTTATGTACATATTCATCTTATTTACCAGAGGACTTATGCATTCATTTTTGTCCCATATACGTTCAAGAAAAGATCAGGATATAAAGTCTCACAAGTCAGATGATCATTTATAACTGAACTCTAACATCCATTAAAGCTCAAAAACAGACTAAAAAGTCAGTCAAGAGGAAAATATTCCTAGCCCGGATTTAAAAGCTCCACAGCATTTTAGACACATAAATGAGCAATTCTACACCCTATATAAATGTTAATCAGATACAGAATTCCAATACTTCGCCCTGCACTTAAAGCATGTTATAGTTCAGAGTCTTGCAGTCTTAGGTAGCTACAACCTATCCACTCCTTTGCTAGATCAGAGCTAAGATCCAGGGTAGACACAGTGAAAGGAAGATGGAAGGAACACCCTGCATGCAAAGATCTGAAAAAAATATTAATATTATTTCATCTTATTTCTGCAGAAATCAGGCAGTCACAAGTTATTGTTTCCATGCCACTGATGAGGGGGAGAACTGAAGATTTTCAAAACAGGGGCCTTGAGCGCATGTCACCCTTCAGGCTTTAGCTTTTCTGAGGGGAGAGGCAGGGAGGGGAATCTAGTTTGTTCTCTCAGACCACATTCTAGTTTATAGCCAACTGATACACCAGTCATATCTAATTTAGCCAAGCTTTTCTCTGGCAACCTACAACCACAGATAGCTACTGATACAGAAATAACCTCCAAAGCAAAGCACACCCACAGGCACCTAATGCCTATGGAAATTATTTAACACAGCATCTACTCTGACATGCATTTCTCCATACAGCTTTCTCTTACTATGACTCCAGCAGATATGACTTATTACCTCATCTCTGACTTGGAAGAAAAAGAAATTGCAGTGTTGATAGCATTGGTCCTTCACGTGTGTCTGACCTGCAAGCACAGAAGCTTTCTCTTGCACAGACAGTCTCTTCCAGCTCAACCAAGTCCCACTCTGTTCTAAAAGCTTCAAAATTTAATCCTATTGTTGCCTAGAGAGAATTAGTCTGAGCAAACAACCCAGTCCTTGTCTGAACTCTGCAGAAGCTGGTCAACAGAGGATGACTTACCCATTTCACCTTCTCTGCCTAAATGTGCAATCATCTCCTTGGCCACCTTATGCAGTCATGCAGCAAGTGATACACAAGTGTAACTAAAACATGCTTTCATGTTCAGGCTGTTGTACTTGTTTCACTCTGCCTCTCTCTGGAAGAACTGCACCTTTGCACATTGATGGATTTTTGTCTGAAAGACCACAAGAGGGTTAAACTAAATTAAGGTGAATAAATTTCTCAAGGCAGAAGTTCTTGTACTTCTGCAGCCAGGGGAAATTCAATGGCAAAATAAAATTCATTTTGAATTTTGACCACGAGAAACATAAGAGTGTTAGAAGAAAATTATTTTAAAGAAAATGAATCTGTGCCTTTATACTTGAATTAATTGTCAGTTTAATGTAGTCAGACTTGCAAAAAAAAAATCCAAGCTGTACGCACCATATCAGCTAAGCACATGACATCTATACCTAAAATGCTAGTTTTCAGAAGTAAATAGGAGTTAAGGAAGCAACAGTGGAAAGAGGCTAAGAATAAAATCCAACAATGGTTTCCAGGCTATATAACTTGTATAAATGCCTGATCTTTATAGCCTAACGTTCCCCCTTCCTCATGTCAGGTATTGATGAACAAGAGGAAAACACAGAAACAAAGCACCACAGCTCCTCCTAAATGTGTCACTTCTCAATATAATAAAAATAGTTTCTTGGGAAAGCCACCTACCCTGCATGGAGACAGAAGGAAGAGAGACTGTAGAGGTGCAGCTTTCAGCCCTCCAGGTATCAGTGGCAGCAGACAGCTCTTCTCTCTGCTGCTGGCTGTTTGCTCACATCTTTTCCCTGGCTTTTATGGGGGAATCTTCCACTTTGCTCACCATCTTCCCTGCTTATCAACATCTCCCCTTTCCCTCTTTATTTGCTTCCCTTAATCTGTCCCTCTTACACCTCCACCATACAGTTCATTGGATATGTACTCAGAGAACATAGGTGGAGTGCCTAAGACATACCCAGCACTGCTCAATCACCTGACTAGACATAAGGCACAGTCTTACACAGTGCCTCTGTCACACCAAATGGGGTTGTTCAGGCCAACTGAAACATTTGAATGTCTTTTAAAATACCTGAATGTGCTCCAAGCTGTACCCAAGCTACAGGAACACACTTACTACAAAGAGTATCATCAGCAGCACTGCTTGGAATAAAGTTTCCTAGTAAGTTTCAGAATCAATTTAATTAATTCTTATCTGCATTTGTCCACTGCTGTTATGATAAATAAAGGCACTGATATGAGAACAACTGAAAAACAGAATTTTTTTTTAAAAGACACTCTAAACAAGCTTTAATATTGTTCCTTTCCTTTCCTGCTCCTTCCCTGGCACAGCAATGGTA